GGATTTTATATTGGCTAAAATTTGGAAAATTACGTCATAATTGCGACTATTTAAAAAATCGATTAGTCTACGTCAAAAAGACGTCCGATAATTACGTCACGTAGACGCCGTCAGACAGTTTTTTATCTGAGCGTCTTTTATTCAATTTTTGCACACATATATTTTTCATTTATTTTTAAAGATTTCTAGTAAAATAATGGTAAAATATAAAATTTGCCTTGGCTATTCTGTTCGTAATTTAGACATAATGTCTAACTTACTTAACAAAGTGCACCAACTAGAAGGTAAGCCATAGGACTTTGCACTCCATATGTAAGTTGTAAAGCTGCCTAAAGTTAACTCTCTATTTCTGGATTCTTTCCTTTATATTTTTGTTACTAATAGAATAAATGCAACTATTACTGCATTAGCAATATGATATCGTGATTTATTCAAAAGATATTTATTTTGAAGTTGTATACTACTATATATAAATATATATTAAAAAAAAAAAGATTTGGACAGTTTCACTATCTATAGAACCCTCAGGAAGCTAATTTATTAAATCTTTGTTTTTTATGATTATCCAGCACTCTTTTTGTAGTATACTCTAACAAAATTAACACACATTTAAATTTTTAATTTTTATTTTACAACAATTTTTAAAACATTTAACATTTTAGAGGATTAAGAAAGGTAATTATGAAGGATTATGAAAGGTAAACAAAATAGAAAATAAATTTATTTATTAAACATTTATAACAAATAAAAAATAAGATGCTCTAAGAGAAAATTAAACAATAAAAAAAACAAAAAAATCATTTATTTTATTCACATATAAATATAATTATTATATAATCATAGCCAATTATTTAAGACTTAAATAGCAACTTTAAACATCTCTTTCAATTTTGTTTTCAATTTTGTTTTCAATTTCAATAATGCGTAAGTATACGCCAATCAAAGCGCTATCAGAGTTTTTGTAAATCAAACGATAGTACCTATTAATACAACCTAATCAGTGCTGTGACTACTAGATCTAAGCCCCCCCCCCCAAACCTATCATAAGGGCCCCAAAATCTAAAAAATTTTCCGCTAGTTATTTCAAAAAAAAATCTCTTTACATTTGAAAAATAGCCCCTAAATTTGGTGCCCAATTGAGGTGTATGAGGAGCCTAGCCACGGCTCTGAATGTAACGCAGGTTTACATCTACACCAGTCTAATAAATGAAGAAGGGGTACAAGGCCTCACACCCCTTTCTTCATCTATTAGGCTGGCAAGCCTCAACCAGTCTTGAGGCTTTCTTTGTCTTCTTAATCTTTGTTAAATGCTTTTTTAAGGTTCTGACGACAAGATCCTTGCGATCTTCTTTCAGATACCTTGTTTATGCTTTGTTATGTTTTATGTCATTGTAAGTTTATATTATTATTTTTATTATGGGTTATTTAAAGCTGTACAACAATTAACAAATAAAAACAAAAAAAAAGAGGCTGGTCAATAGAACTATTTTGCTTATCTTTAAAGTCTTTGCCTGAGAGGTCTTCTAGAAGCCGGCAGCTAGATGAAGTAAACATTTGCCCGAAGATGAGTATTTTTATCAAGATACGATTTTTAGTCTTTATCTAGCCAAGAGTCTCGAGGCAAGGGAATTTTAATTTAGAGTTTTTTCCTCCTAGCCTTTGCCTAAAAAAGCAAAATCCCTCAAGGCAGCAGGGCATGGGGGAGGTAGTACTGGGTTACATTATACCAGTAGCAGGGTGATAATGATGATCCTGAACCTGACTTGACCTTAGATATTTAATAGAAGTTACTTCCTGTAAGCAGTATTATAAAACATTGAACGGGATATTTTGGAAATACATTGCAAAAAATATTACATCTAACAAATCACAGATATATTACAGCTGAGCTAATACAGTAACTAAGATACCTAACAAAAGACCAAAAAAAAAATATCTTTTATTATAGACATGACAGATATTAGGTAGTATTGATGACAGAAAGTACACTTTTGCATAGAAAGCGAAGTATATATCCTGAAATTGTCCTAAAAATTTCAGATTAAAAGCTTTAGTGAATTAAAAAAAATAATGTTTTAAAATCTTGATATAATATGAACTTGCAAAAAATGCGAAAATAACTATAAAACAAAAAAAAAGAACATTTTTTAATTTTTAAATTTCTTTAAAAGTGAAGCAGATAATAAACAAATAAAAGCACGGTAGACAAAAATACAAAAACAAGTTAGCTTGTTAATTATTATAATTTTTTTAATTTTTAAATTTTTTATATAATAAACAATATATGTGATTGTGGTTGCTCTGGTGTTACTAAGATAAACAATGCTGTTAATTTAGGTTTTTAATACATAATTAAAGACTTTATATATACACCAAAAGAAAGAAGATAAATTTTTGAAGAAGATACATTGAAAATAATATTTTGACATTTTTGTTCTAAAATAAGTATTTTGACTGTCTACTGCCTTAATAAAGCTTGATAAATTTGTTCAAGATGCTTTCTTCTATGCTGTTAATTGAACCTTTGTGATTCTTTTTTAATTTTTTTATTTTAAAACTATCAAATATATTTTAAGAGGTATTTTTAGTTTAGGGAATTAATATTTGCAGTTTTTTTTCAATTGAGGTGTTAGTATAGCCAAAATGGCCGATACGCTTTCATTAAAAACGGTTAACGTTAAAATTTGACTTAGGCATAAAATACTGAAATAGAAATCAATGTGGGTTAGGCCACTTTTCTCAAGAAAATATATTCAAATTACCTCACAATGAGACCATAAACTGCATATTGGTTAGGTTATATGGGTTAGGCCATTCTGGCTCTCAGCGTCTCAATTATAAGTTACTTTTTTATAATTGTGACATAATAACACGACATTCATTTTTAATGTTATAATTTTCACAGTAGCGTAGCCAGACGGGAGTCAAAGGGCTTTTGCAATTATGCAATTAAATACCTGGGGCTTTTGCCCCAGGTATTTAATTGCAAAAAAAAAAAAAGCCTACCAAAAAAAAACAAATAGCCTACCGTTATCATGATCAATTATTGAATGTGTACTTCTAAATGTATAACTATTTTCAGTTAAAACATAATATCACTAATATCCAAAAGATTTTTCTTCGTTTTTTTTTTTTTTTGTTATGGAATAAAATTAAAATTCTTAATCAATTTTTTTTATATCATTTTCAGCTTTCACTAAGTTATTCCAAAATAAATACATTTTTAAGTGTTTTTGTGGTTTTCATTGTTTACAATCTTTTTATATAAAGAAGGAAACCTTATAAGGTTTTATCTATATATTTTCGATACTATTTAAACAAAATTCGGATGAATCAAACTCATCTCTTTTTAAAAAAATAATAAAAAAACAAAACGTGTTTTTTAATTTTTTACACAAGTCAATAGTAATAAAAAGTTCACCGCCATCATGATCAATCATAAAATTGGTGTAGCCTAATTGTACCGTAACTAGTTTGAGACAGTCCAAACTATTACAAAAACACGCAAAAGTTGAACGTTTTAAACTTTTTTTAATTTGATTTTAGTTTAAATATTTGTCCGATTTATCGTTGTTTTTTCTTTTGCGCCCGATTTATACGCCGCTGGAACAAGTGAAGATAATTCAATCTGATAGAATTTAAAGACAGTACATCTAGATCGGTTTGTTTTAAGAACTTTAAGACAAGAACATCAGGGCCGAAGAAACAGATTTTAAAGCGAGGGGGGGCGGGGCGCACAATTGTCAATTTTTAAAAAGTCTTCTATATCTAGTATATTTTTGAAAAAAAATTCCTTAAAAAAAAGGTGCGGCCCCTGGCCCTTGGTGTCGTTAACTCTGAACATTAAGAAAAATTGATTATAGACTGTTTTTTATTTGTCAAAAATTTATTGGGTTCTCTCAATTATCCAGGTATTGGAAAAAGTTGTCTTGTTTTCCGAAATCCTTTTGACAGGGGTTAGGACAACAAGATAACTTGTTGTCCTAACCCCTAACAACAGCAAATGACTAACTAGCTTTGTATCATCAATTTAGGAAAGTGTGTTATTTTAGGTTCAAAATATAAAATCTATGTTGAAAGTTATTTGAAATAATAGGATAAAGATATAAACTCTTCAAAATGTCATGTAATTCAGATTTTCAAACACATTTATGTTTATTATAGTAGACATCGTTTGCTAAGTAAAATAAAAATTTGAATGGCTCCACCGTAATTAACACAATTTCCGAGTTAATATCTGAGCAAGATTTTTTTAAAAGTTTTTAAGTTTAAAAAATTTGAAGAATAACGATGTCGCAACTTTCATATTTTTCAAAATGTTAAAATAAGCTACCATAACAAACTTTTTTTCAAAACGAGTTGATATCTTCAAGAGCAACCAAACACGCACACTTAAAAAAAAACCATGGAGAAACCTTGATTACAAACAGTTATTGAAATTTTTGAAGCACTTTCTATAACTTTTAATGAGAAGGAAAGTTGAGTTAACGTAAACCTTTTAAATCACTGAAAATATTTGTTGTTCATTTAATAAAACAGTTACTTTAATTTTTATATTTCTTAATGACTTAACATAAAATTTCATTGAATTATCATGAGAAATAAATTTTATATTTGAACCCTTAGAGATTTGTCATCAAAACAAAAACATAATAAAAAAACATAATAAATGTTGAAAAAAATATCTTTTGTTTGGTTCTTTTTGATTAGTAATCTTTTACCGCTTTTAGAATTTTTAGAAACTACTACGAATATTAATGCGAAATTTACAGCTATGATAAATTTTTTAAAAACGTCTAATGTGAAACTGTTTACAAATTTCTATAAAGAGTCGAATAAAACATTTATCTCGAATACATTTTGATGAATTCGTATGCATATTTCATATAAACTCACTAAGCGCAAATTAAATCATTTCCTTCAGGTTTCATTGTGTTCTTTCATTTATATTTAATATTTTTGCGTTTTATATATACTTGGACCTTTCGATTATTTGGCTCGTAGACAAATGTAAACGTAATTTTTGAAGTCTCTCAATAGCCTTGTTTTTGGAACAAGAAATAATTATTAAAAGCTATTCCGTATGAAAAAAAATTAAATGATTTTTTTTAATTAAAAATTGTTCTATTGGTTTGTTTTATTGTCGCAATTCTGAAAACTTGTTATATTTATCCTTTTACATAACCAAACATTATCAATTATCATTTAAAATGGCTTATTATTTGGGGTTTGAAGATGCTTTTCGAAAAATGCGGCGAAGCACTTCAAGTGCAACAAGCTTGAGTAATAACGGAATGAATGTAAGTTTTGAAAATTTTGAATGTTTTTAAATATTTTATGCTTTTTTTCCTCACACGATGCAACAAGTTTCAAGTCCAAAGTTTTACATATATATATATATATATATATATATATATATATATATATATATATATATATATATATATATATATATATATATATATATATATATATATATATATATATATATATATATATATATATACATATATATATATATATATATATATATATATATATATATATATATATATATATATATATATATATATATATATATATATATATATATATATATATATATATATATATATATATATATATATATATATATATATATATATATATATATATATATATATATAATTGCTAGTTTTCGTTCTAAATTTAAATGTAAACTTTGCAAAGATTTGGGTGTTGGGATTTTTTAAAGGTTAACGGTTATTAAAGCCTGATTACACTAGAAGTTTTTATTCCTATTAATGACTAATATATTTTCTTTTCTTTTTTTTAATTTTGAAATGTTTTTTTTTATAACAAGCAAAAGTTAATAAAAAAAAAAAGGGGGGGGGGGGGTCTTAATAAGCTCGTTTTCACCGATTAAAAGTTTCTTTCACATATCTTTTACAGAGATTTATCTTAAATTTAATTTAAAATAGAGTAGGGTTGGGATTGATGTTCTCTAAGTCAAAATGCGCTCATTTTGTGAATCAAATGTAGAATGTCATTGTTTAGTTTCTTTATTAAACCTTAAAAAGAGGTAAAATAGTTGGTGAAGTATGAGGTTCTATAAAATATTTTATTTACTATTTTCAAAAAATTAAAGAAAACACATGAGATTTTATAAATTATTTAGCAGGTAATTAAATGAATAAACAGGTTAATTAAATGAATAAACAGTAAATGGCTCTTTACAGGATTATTGTAAAGTAAATTTTTAATTGATATAAGTTCAAGCACTTTTTTGTAATTTGCAGAACCATGGCTGTAAGAAAATCAATATAAATAAGTCAAGAGTTATGTTTTAATAAAAGTTGAAGGGCAAAAAAGTTATTTTGTTTAGTTTCTATTGCCCCATACAGGGGTAACTTGCTACAAATGATTGAATTAGCTTTTTCAAACGCATTTTAAGTTATTAAGAAGTTTATTTATCTTTAAAAAGTTTCAAAAGTATTTCATGTGTGACGAAATTTTGTCCCACTATCTCACTGTCAAATAATTCTTATACTATTAAACAAAATGATTAGCATTGATGTGTTTGTATAAATGCAATGAACCAGTTGTTAAAATGTTTTTTTCGACAAGTGGCTCTGTTCGAATCTTGTATTAGTTAATTCCTTTTTAGTTAACAACAAAAACAGGCCAAAAAGCAGGTTGTCTGGTGTCAAATCTCCACCCATTGGTGTTAAAGTTAATAACTATTATATAGGGGAAGACGAGAAAAGATGGCAAATGTTTTGAAAATTTTAAGTATTTGCAAAGTTGTCAGTCATGAATTATTGCTTCATGACTGACAACTTTGTTTTTCTTACAAGTTTTATCAGTATGTTTGTCATATCATAATGATTTATCGCCTGTATCATTCAGCTTGCAACTTTGTAATAAAAATGAAGGTGTAAATATTTAAAAAAATAAAGTATTGCAAAATAAACACGTGCCGCAAAAATTATCCTAAAAAAAGTTAGACCCGTAGAACTCCCCGTGAGCAATAACCCTAACCGTAATATTTTTTTAAATCGTAAAAAAAACTTATTGTATCATGTGAACAATATTTTAAAAAACCAAATGGTATTTTTAAAGCTATTTATTCAGTTTCGTCTTCGCATTTTAAAATATTCTTGCTGACTTGTTATATGAAAAGCCATCTTGCCCCATTTTAACCCGACTACTGCACGTTTTGTTTAATAATTTAATTACGAAGAGCTAATGGTAATCAATTTTACAATTAATATTAATTTTGCTTTATAATTAATAGTCTTCACTAATTTAACTAACACCTTACTTTTACCTTCAATAGCGCTAATTATGTAGTAGCAATAAATATTTGGAACAAAATTAAAATATTTATGGTGGTAAAAAAAATTGAAGTATTGGCAATATTGAAAAAATCTGTTCAAAGTCGCCAATCTTATCGCCTGTTTTTAATTATTTACACAGTTTCTGTTTGTTTGTTTTTTTGTGTGTTTTTCTTTTGTTTGTTTTTTTTTCTTTTTTGTCTTCCTCTATCTCTCTAGAATACCTGGTACAAATAATTATTTAAACAAAAACTAATAAAAGTTTTTTTAACAAGAACCATAGATATAAAAATACTTGAAGTTAAACGCGGCGTCACGACGCCATTTATTTTTTTATAATTATTGCACGCTTTGCATTGCACGCATTGCAGTGCATGCATAATAAACATGTCTTGAAATAAGGAATGATAACGAGAAATAAATCAAAGAACAAAGTTCAATAATTTGAGCATAAACTACAATTATTTATATTGTATATTTTATTTTCTTTATGGATCAACTTATTTGTTGCACGTACACATAAATTTATGTTTAAAAATTCCATTTTGGTTTTTTAAAAGAAATATTTGTTTAAATAATTAAATAAAAATCGGCGACAACGATGACGAAATCAATAACGACTAAAAACAGACAATCGAATCATTTGCCGCGTTTTACAGCAGAAGAGAAAAAGCAGTTTCAAATGGAAACAATGGAAACTAAAAATGGTTTTTTAAATTCAAATCCGGAAAAAGTGTCAACGATAATTTATTAATTACTTAGTGCAAACTACCAAAAATAAATTAAGGAGACATGAATTTAAGTGCCTTGTGTAATTTGGTTAAACTTTTTAAAATGGATCTTAATGATAATCATTAAGGTTCATTTAACTCTAAAGACATCTGATATCTCAAAATCTAGTTGCTGCAATTGTCTTAAAGTCAAGGTTTCCTTAGTTATTTGGACAGTTTTTCAAAATTGTAACAGACAGCAATATCAAAATGTGATAACAATGTAAGGAGGTTTTTAGGTCGACCTCTTGATCAAACTAAAGAAACAAATTCAAAAAAGAGTTTTTATCTGAAAAATTAATTTACTCTATATAGAAGATTATCCAGAAAGTATTTCTTGCCACCAAATCTAACTTTTGACATCTTTTCCCTGTATGTTAAAAACTTAAATTTTATGATCAGAATAAGTTTAAAAACAACGTTTCGACTCTATTTCATAAAAATATAATAAACATTTAAACGCGTAACCAAAATCCAAATACTTACAGTACAGTTATATTGTGCAAAGCTACGTAAATATTGAACTGGTGGAAATTTCGAAGTAAGGCATCAAAAAAGCAACAACATAAAAGTAAAGTTGCTGATATGGTGTTTAAATTCTACCCATACTTCTAGTAACCTCAAAACAAACATATTCTATTATATTAATAGTTTTTAGCTCGTCTAGAATAATGTTACCTAAAATCACGGCCGCCAAAAGCTATCACACTGCCTGGGACAGCAATCTTGATTGGTGCCCTTATTTATCAAATTTTCCCTATATTATAGGTACTTCATATGACCTTTTTTTTTTTTTTTTTAGGTATCTACATTTTCATTTAGCTTCCCATTGGATATCTGCTGCCCAGAACTAACTGTTCCTCGTGACACCCCCCCCCTCCTCTTGGCGGCATTACCTAAAATCTTCATAATTTTTTACAAAATATTTCAATATTATGTTTTAAACGATCTTATTTGAAACTGTTGTAAACAAATTTTATAATAATAGGTTGAACTTTGACTCGTGGAAATAAGAAATATTAAAACAAATTTCATATTTTACAAGTAAACTATAAGCTCGTGAGGGGAAGCTGAGCCTATTAAATTATTTATAGTTTTTTGCAACATTCTGATAATGTTCCTAGAATTAGAAATAGATAGGGGCTCAAAGAAAATGAGGATGACAGTACGTCATCGCAATCTGTTCATAGAACCCATTTAACAAAATTTCAATAAAATTTCGTAAAATATATACGTAATAAAATTTCAATTAAATATCGTAATAAATATCGTAATAAAATGCATATTTCGCTAATAAGATTGTTAAACAACAACAACAACAACAACAACAACAACAAAAGTAGAGCGGTAACATTAACCAAAAAAGTTTCTTAAATTTTAAAAATTTCTTTTTTTGTTATAAACTTGAATGAACTTAACGAATTTACTATACCTTTGAATCCTTTTTGAAAGGTATTCCATACTTTAGGAACTCAATATGAAATGCTGTTTTCTGAATATTTATTTATTATCCGAGACAGTTTAAATGTGTTTAACGTATTTGAGCACGTATTTATTCATCTTGAAAAGATAAAGTTAGGTCGTTTTATTATTTTGGTTCTAGGTATATTATCATAATGTCGTTAAATATTTAAAATAAGTTATTATTAGTACTTGAATTAGGAAAAAAATATAGAGCAGAAAATCAATAGATCATTTAACACTATTTATGAAACATTTTTAAACCAGGAATAATTTACTGACCAGCAGAAGGATTGACTGATATTGAAAAATGCTTTAAAATTATTTTGTATTTAATAATGATATTTTATAAATAAATTTTTTTTAACGGTTATTTACAGCTATTTTATTTTTTAATTGTTAGTTAATCGATGCATTTGTTTAATGAATAAATTCAATAATAAATTGTTTTTTACAAAATTAAATAAAAACCCAAAACTATGTTAATTTTAAAAATAATGCGAAATACAAAATATTATATCTGAAAATATAAATACGCTAATTTAATAGTAGTAGTTAATAGTCGACTTACGTCATTCTCTAGGCTTTTATATTTTAAAGTAGTTTCTATGCTTTTCTATACGCGGTTTTTTTTTACTAACAACCCATATTACGGGTTGCTTACTGCTAGTAGAATATAATATATAGTGATGTACCGATTAATCATTTGCTTAAACTGCCACTTTTTTTTTAACAATCGGCATTGTCATCGGTCTTTTTTTATTGAGATGCCGCTTTTATTAAATTTTATTCTGTACTATGAAAATAATTATATTAAATGAACCAAGCTCTATACATTACTGCGGATATTTCGGGAAACAGCATTTGGATTTTTGGACAAGTAACAGATGAAGCGCTGTATGTTTTAGAGCACCCTTATTAGGAGACAAAAAGAGTTGCATATTCACTACCAAACAGGCACAAGCAAAAAACCACGAGTAGAGTCAAGAAGATCAAGCGTTCAACAAAACAGGCAGACAATTTTGAAACAAATCTCTAGCTGGCGGGAATGTAAACATTTTATGGTTTACATCTCCGCTAATCTACGAGATGAAGAAAGGGTGTAAAGTTTGTCAACAGAAATTATCTATTCTACAATAAAGTCTTAACCTTGGAGCTTTTTTACAATCAGTAGCCGGTTTATCTGCCCAATATAGGTATTTTTATAAAAGCACTGTCTTTACTCAACTAATAGCCTCAATATGGGGGTATTTTAAGTCAAAGTTAACTTCTCCTAATCGTTGCCTAGAAACCCAAGCAGTGAGAAATGTGGCAGGTTATACTGGATTGCATTTTACAGAGCAATTGTCCTGATTCTGATCTGACCTAAAATAGTGTTTGGTTTTAACTTTTTTAACATTTTAATAACTGGTTAATTAATCGACATTGGTCTTTTTCTTTTCATCGGTTTTGGCATCGGCTACAAATGTACAATCGGAACATCACTAATAGGTTATATAACTATTTTTGAATTAACAATCTACTACTAGTAAATAAAATGTTTATTTTTCTTTTATTAATTTATAAGTTGAATAAACTGGAAAAAAGTTGGTTCAGTGCCGCTGCAGAATGTGACATTTTGAAGTTGAAGCAGTACTATGGAAACGATAAAGATCTGCTCAATAAAAAAGTAAATGTGTTTATGTGTAAAAAGTATATGTGTATGAGCGCGCTTGTAAGAAAATTTTTTTAATATTATATTAATATTTAAAATATGATTATAATCATTAAACCACTGTCTTGAACAACTTAGCATTTGGCTTAGTGTGGGACTAATGCTCTTTAGTGAGCTGAACTTGTCTTCACTATATGGCAATTAGCCGGAGGAGGATAAGCCACAATACCAATTGAAGAATAATTTTCACTTAACCTATTAATTTGAAATACTTTTCTTATACTAATTTAACTTAATGAAAGACAACATTAATAAGCGAAGGAAAGTGTGTATCTAATTTAAAATAGTTCATAATGTGATATTAAAATGAGCTCAAAACGAAACGCGTAATAATAGTGGAGGATTTGTTTGAGCATATTGCTGGACCCTCTGATCTTCCCGTGAGTAACAAACAGCTTACAAACAGCTTATTAAATGAGTTACAAGATTAGGAAAGATTTATTTAATGGACTGAAAAATGGATCTGTTGTATGTATCAATTGTAAAAAAGGCCGATAGTAACTTGCAGAATCTTTTGTATGGAGTTAATTCAAACCTCTTACTAATAACAGACAAATGATTAAAAAAAAAAATTCCAGTGTATTTGAAAAAGTTTTATCCACACTGCCCTTTTTAGAGAGTTTCAGTTGAATTTATTTTTACTTCAGATTTTTTTAAGGTCTTTCCAGTACAAAAACCGCATAATAATCATTAAAAACAAACTTTTATTTTTTTTAAATTTTGAAACTTTTTATCTAACAAGTAAAATTAAAAAAGAACTTTTAAAACCCAATGCTATTTATATGTTAATAAAACAATAAATTTTCTTTCATATTTTATTTTATTAACATTCGCTGTATGCGTGTGTAAAAAAACAAATAAAATTCTGGAAGTGGCGGGTCTCCAACCCTAGATATCGTTTACGAAGTCAACGCCTGATCCAAGTAAGCTAAATGCACGAATCAGTAGGAAACAAACAATATACTTATTTTAAAAATTCTTCTTTCCATATAAAAAAATAAACTTATTTAAAGTTAAGTAAGTTATTTGACTTATTGCAAAACTAATTATTGAATATTATATTGCCATCAAGCTAAAGTATGTATGCAAAATATGAAGAAAATCTATCATCAGGAAGTAACTCAAAAATTGATTGCAAGATTTGATGCTCACAGACAAACAGATAGAGACGACGAGTTGATAAAAGCATTGGAAAAAATGAGGTGCAAGAGGCGAAAAGGTACCGTCTGAAAAAATTTAAATTTTAGTTATTACCAGATCTGAACAGAGGAAAGAAATATCTAAAAGATACAAAAATATCATCTTTATATCCTCATGAATGACGGATTTTTAGAGATTTTAGCAAACTTTTGGATGAAACATTTCGAAACAGGTTTCTGAAACGCAAAAGACAGTTCATCAATCAATGAAATACCTTCGCATTGTAAGTTAGTGGAAATATTTTTTCAAACAACCTCCATAAATATTTATTGTGCTTTGACAAAATTATTATTATTAGTTCTGACAAAATATTTTGTTTATGTTCTAAAAAAAAAAATATTTATAAATCCGCGTAGGAAATTATTTGGTCTTTTACGCGGTGATTTTCATCGAATTTAATGGAATTTTGAATATTCCGTTTCATTAAATATTCTGCGAGAGAAAACTTTAAAAAAAGACAATTGTCTATATTTTTTTTTTAGTTTTGTATAATTGTTGTTTAGTATTGTACAATACTAAACAAAAATATTTAGTTTCAATATGGGCTTGCAAAGAGCAAGAACTCATTCAAAAAATAGAAAACAGATGTTTTTGTTGAGTCTAAAGAGAAAAAATGTCTGTTTTAAGAAAGGAATAGTTCATTGATTTTTGGAATTTATGGAAGTCGAAAGATAAGATTAGATAAATTTTAAACTGAAGTATAAGGCAATTAGTACAGCTGTAGAGACTTCCTGGTTAGATGTTTGTCATTAAGTTAACAAGGTGGGAAGGATACAAGCAAAAAGCACAATTGCAATTGTCATCAAAAAGATGACAACTGCAAATATGTTATTAGCTACATACGGAAGTGTACTAGCATTAGTTGCAAACTTAATCCTTCGTTACTACAAATTTACTTACAAAGAAACTAATAAAATTCCATCAAAAAAAAAAATTGCAACAAAAAACAACTGTTAAAAATCTCCAAATCTCTTGAAGATAATTCATGATCTTCAAAATTGTGTTAGTTATAATAAAGAAGAAAGGAAAAGGATCAGGAATACAGGAGAATATTTATGACCTTGAATAAGTTTTATTGTATCAAAAAATGTCAATATAAGAAAGGTAAATACTTTTTTTAAAAAAAAAGAATTTTATGGACCCAATATTTATTTTAAGAAAGGAATAGTTCATTGATTTTTGGAATTTATGGAAGTCTACATAATGCTAAGAGACACTTATATTGACATTTTTTGATACAATAAAACTTATTCAAGGTGATAAATATTCTCCTGTATTCCTGATCCTTTTCCTTTCCTTCCTACCCTATTTCCTTTTCCTTCCAAAGGATAACAATTAATTTGCTGAAATTTATTTGAATGATTTATTTATTAAAATAAATTTCAGCAAATTAATTGTTATCCTTTGTTTGATTTAGTTGCTGAATGCCATTTTGGAATGGTTCATAATATATCCTACAAAGTAATATATATCCTACAAAGAGAAAATAGATAACTTTGTGTAGCCCATGATTCACTTTAAACTATATGTCAATGATGTAGTTGTGAAAAAGATTTTTCATTTCATCTCAAAGAATGTTTTGATAGGCAAAAGATCAAAATGAGGCAAAAAATATAAAAAAAATCTTAACAACTCACTGAAAAAGTTTGTTGTGTCTGAGAAAAATGTCCATCATGGTGAGAAATTTAAAGTTGTTGTTTTTTAATATACTCAGGTTGTATAAAGATTTTCAAAGATCTATTTATGTTGAAAAAATTATATATATATTTTTTTGCAACACATTAAAATATTTAAAATACTATTGGTTGGATTTCATTTGTATGAACTTTTTGTTTTGAGATTTATACATCTGAGTCTAAGTAGAGACAAGACATTCTTTTTTTCAAGAGGAAAAGTTGCAACTATTATTGTACTAATATTTAGATTTTAATTTTTATCAAAATATATTTTAGTGCTAAAAGATACGGCTTTTAAAACCCTTAATTTAAGATTAAAACCCTTTTTTTGAATGTTTTACATTTTTAGAAAGTTAGAACAAGCTATTCAAACTAGTTTTATCAAGTTTCATTCACTGCCAAAAAAATTCTCAATAAGTAAAAAAGAGCTGCAAAATTAAATTGAATTTCATTCTATTTAACAAATTATTAATTTCACAAAAAGGTTTAGATGAAATTGAATGATATTATGCCTTTAAAGTCATAATTTCATTCAGAATATTGTATACTTTTTTGTTACAAATATATATTGAAAAGGACAAACATATCTGTATGATCTTGAAAATCGAGACATATATAAATGTGATTTTAGAGTACTTTTTTAGGTTAAAACACACTTTAAAATTTTTATAAAAACATCAAGCATGTTGTTTCTTATTAAGAAATTCTTAATATGATGACTATAAGAAAGGTATTTCTATTGTAGTTCAAAGTGTTAGAAATATTTAAAGGTTCATTTGGAATAAAATGTTTTACTTTAAAGTATTTAAAATATTTTTAATCAAATATTGTTGAAGTTATGGTGTTAAATATTTAAGCTTATGGTAAAATACCTTAACTTATTTTTTACGCTGCAACTTTTACAGAGCTTTCTGTGAACAAGCAAAATTTGAAAATTGGTTCATAAATAAAGACTTTAAAAAGTATTTATTTATGAACATTTTTCCTAATATTTGACATAACACACAAATAGTTGAATATTTTTTCCAAAAAAATAACAAAAAAGTTTAGACAGTGGTTTAATGTTCATGTTTAAAGTGCGCGCTTGTATAAAGGTTGTTTTTGAAAAAGTGTTATAACTTTTTAGGTCATTCCTTATCAAATAAGCCAATTTTAAAAGTTTTCTAAGTAATTGTTTCAGAATTTTATGAAGTTTAAACATTCGATTTTAAGAAGTTTACACATTCGGTTTTTGTGGCAAAAATAAATTTGTTCAAAACTTTAACTCAAGCATTCTAAAGTTTTGGCTATTTTGAATATCAAAGATTTGGTCTATTTCAAGCACTTTATTGCATTATTCAAAAAAGGCTCTATGTTTGGAGCCATTTAAATAAAAAACGAACTATTTTAAAATAATAATAATAATAATAATGAAAATATTTTAAAATCAAAATGAGACAATAGTAATACATTTTGACTTTTGATTTTGAGCTATTTAATGTTCATTCTTGTTGTGTAAACTTTACATAAAAATCTGAATCATTTGCAACTTCTTGCAAATGAATTTTTTAGTTTCTCACTTCGGAATTCATAAAAATACAAGTATTTTACCTGTATCTCAGCTGAAAATTTTATTGTTGAAGTATATTATTATAGAACAACCCAATTTTTTTTTCTTCAAAGTGTTTTTTTTTTTTTTTTTTTTTTTAATTTTAAAGTTTCAAATTGCTGAAAATAGTAATTTTTTAAAATAAAGTTTTACTTTTTTAAAAGTTGAGGTAGATTGCCATCATTAATTTAACTTTTGATAAGATTAAAGTAATTAGTTTTTTTATTTATATAATTTTGAAAAAAAGAAAAGTATAGTAAAGTGGCTAGATAAGAATGTCTTTAATTTTTGGAAAACATTAGAATGCTAAGAGATATGGGGTTAAAGTTTTTAAAAATTCATATTTCTATAAGTTCTACAAAAGATACAAACTTCTAGAATATCATAAATGATAACTTGGAAAGGTTTGGCTCATTTAATATAGAATGATCCTATAAAAAGTTTGATTGTGATAATATGTTGTAATTTTTAGGATATTTTCACGGTGAGTTCTTTAGATGGAAAATAATTATAAATTTGAGTACATTTGTTAACTTCTAGTGGCCTGCAAGGTAATATTTAATAGTTTCAACTTTATAATTTTAAAACATGTGGATGCATGGGGCGGATCCATAGGGTAAAGGAAGAGTAGTGGGAACAATATCCCCCGTTGGTTATAAAAAGTAGCAAATTAGGGCTAATAGGCAGGCTGCTTAAATGATATGAAATTATTACATGAAACAAAATTGTTGAATGGAAATTTTGAATCTATTGGGATATTATTATATTCTAGTTGCATAGACCTGGGCTGGATTTACTTTGGTGGGAGCCCCTGTGCCATGTGAATGGCACAGGGGCTCCCATTCTCCGTAACAGTTGTTCTGTGGTATAACTACCGGAATATTTTTGGAATTCGAAATTGATTCGCAAATTAGTTACGTGACCTTTCTGGTTAAATGCTTTTCTACAATGATGATGATATGTTACAAGATTATTAGCTAATACAAATTTAAAAAAATATATAAAATCTTTTTTTAATAAAATTGGCTTTATTTGCTAAATTTAATGACTCCCTAAGGAATGTTAAAATGTCAACAATTTTTATCTTTTTATATTTTAAATTATCTTTATATTACTGTTAAAATTATTTTTTAAATTATCTTTGGTTGAAGTTTTAACACTCCTTAGGGAGTTGTTAAACTTTAAAAAATAAAGTAAATTTAATTTGTAGTTTGCTATTTAATTGCCAAATATTTAATTGTGATTAAATTTTCTTTGTGTTCAAATACAAATTACGTCACACAATTTTTGACCATTTTAGACTTTCCTCTGATTTGTGTCACGTGTTTAAAATTCCGCTTCTAAAAATCAAAAGATCAATTAGACAGTTATAGTTATTTTAAGTGCCCCATACAACTTGATATTTAGTGGACATAACTTAAATTAAATTATTTCATTTACTTCAATTTTAGTCTATAGAAGGTGTTTTTTCAACTTTAAAGTCTGACTAAAAATATTCAACTTAATGTTATTCCAAATAATAAGAAAAGGCAAATTAATTTTGGGCCATCCAATCATATGTACTAAACAGTAGAATCAAACTGATTTTTAGAGGAGTAAATTTTTCTTGCTTATTTTATTTAAAATTGCTCCAAAATGTTATTTGCATAAAATAAGGTTATAATGGTTTAAATATGTATATTTATTTTCAATTTCATTTATTCAAGTGGCTTCAGAAGTTACTCCCAGTTACCTTAAGTATAATACTTTATTTTATATTTTACATAAGTTTTAAAATCTTAATATATTTTTATGTTCTTTTCTTTTCATATTGTGGTTGATCGATTTCTCCTATCAATTTTCAGGGGGTAAGTAAATAATTTTAGTTTGATTTATGCAAATATGATAATAAAAGGTGGGTTTATATAATTATATAACCTAATATAACCTTATAAAATTATAATTAATTTAATTATTTTTAGTTAGTTTTATTATATAACTTTTATTTTAATGATTTCAATTTTTTTATGTTAAAAAAAAAAAAAAAAGTAAAATGTTTAGAAAATATTTTCCCATAATGCTATTATTTTAAAGTTAACTTTTTTAAAGAGTTTTTTTTTATTTTATTTTAACTTTAAAATAATAGCATTACCGGAAGATATTTTTTAAACATTTTACTTTATCTTTTCTTTTTTTTTTAAACTTAAAAAAATTGAAATCATTAAAATAAAAGTCATATAATAAAACTAATTAAAAATAATTAGGTTTGAACTCAAACAATGACATAAATACCTGGTGGGAAATCGGCTAGCAAATAGCTAGATAAAATCGTAATGATAAAGACAGCGAGGATCGCTAGCTTTTTTAGGTTAGCCAAAAGCTATCGATATTTGTAAAGATAAAGACTGCGATTTGGCTACGAGGACAGCTAGCTTAATAAGCTAAAGACCCACTGGCTATTGTAGCTAGCGTCATATCGTAATAAAATCGCTTTCTAAAAAAATTTGATATGTAACTAACAGGTATAGATTTGTAGATATTTTGTAGCTAGCAACAAAGCTGAGTGAAAAAAAGGTATATTAAACCGAAATTAATTTTACGCACCTCTTAATTTGTGTTGATAAAAACTTTTAATATTTGTTTTCTTTTTCTTTTTATATATTGTGATTGTTGGATTCTCTTACAGTACGTAAGTTATAAATATGTTTATTTTTATTTTATTTGTTTAACAAATTGAACTATTTACTTAAAAAATGTTTATCTAGTTTTTTTTATAGTTTTTCTTTATTTTAAGGCTGCCGTGCATTGGGCTGCCAAGAAAGGAGATCTTGATTTGTTTTTGTGGTTTCTTGAACAAAAAGCTGACTTCAATTTAAGAACTGTAATTTTATAATTTTTTTTTTTTTTTTTTTTTTTTATGTTAATTTAAACACATTAAACACTTTATTAATTTAAACACATTAAACACATTAAATTTTTTAGATATTTGTTATTTTTAAATTCTGAATAATTTTTTTTTACTTTTTTATGTTGCTTCATTGAAAATACAGAATGTAAGTTTTTTTTACATATTAACAAATAGATGTATTATATATTCTATTGTAATAAACAATTGTTATTTTTATCAGAATTACTTAAAAATGCAAAATAATTTTTCAGCCTTTTTAGTCAATTAATGTTATATTAATTCAAATAAATGTTATCTTAATATTGGATATTACTTTTTTTTTATTGTGCAATCAACCTCATTATGTGTTACTATTTCAGGGGGTATGTCAATTTTTTTTTTTTACATAATTTTTTTTTTTTTTTTTATATATCTATACATTTTCATGTTCTTTAAATTACAATTTTTTATTTACAGGGTTATACTCCACTGCACATAGCTGCTATACAAAACAAAGAAAATGTCATTCGATACTTGATTCAATATTGTGGTAATAAGTATTATTTATTTCAATGTTTGAGTATTTTCCCAACTATGACCAACTCTTTTAAAAATACATTACAACAAAAATAAATGTGTAATTTTTAAAAAAGCTTTTAAAGTAGTTGAATCGTTTTTAAAACATTTTTATTAGTAATTGGCTCCTTGATTTTTATATTGATTCACATATATCAATTCTTTTTTTTTTCTATGACAGGTGTTGATGTTGATCTTCGAGATTATAGTGGACGAAAAGCATGTAATTACATAAAAGAAACAGCATCTTTTTCCTTAAAAAGTAAATTTTTTAAATATCTTTAATTTTACAACAATTTAATGTTAAGTTTTTAATTAAACATATTTATGACTTATTAATATTTATTTAATAGCTGTGAGTTTGTTATGAGGGCTTTAGTACATTGAGTGCCTCGGTCAATGAGTCTAAATCCAAACCCTCAGTCATACATTGACTGAAGGTTTGGCTTTGATTTGGTTCAAATGGATTTGATTTGGTTCATGGTTCTACACTTGTGTACAAAAAATTGTCATCAATTGTTTATGAGCTCTTTTTTTTCCCACAAAAAAATTAAAAGTTTTATAACAAATTTTTTGTTTTCATAGGTAAGTTATCTTCACCACAGATAAAAAACCCTTTTATAAATAGGAAATATTTATCCAGAAAAAGTTAAATAAGAGGACAGAAATAATAAAAGTGATATTAGAACTAGTGATGTCATTAAAAACAACTTTTTCCCATTTTTCAAACTCTGGATCTTTAGCATAATCCAATGTATAAGTAATATTTGCTTTTTCTAAGAGTCTGCTATAATTTAAATTTCATATTGAAATTTCACTATTGGTGACTATTA